AATTGATAAGATCATGTGGTTCTTGTCTTTTGTTTTATTTATGTGATGGATTACATTGATTGTTTTTCTAATGTTGAACCATCCCTGCATAGTTGGTATAAATCCCACTTGATCGTGGTGAATTATTTTTTGATAATTTGCTGAATTCTGTGGGCTAGAATTTTGTTGAGGATTTTTGCATCAATGTTCATGAGGGATATTGTGTAAAACCTTTCCTGTTGAGAGTCTGTTTGCTGGGTGCCTTGGCTTTGGCAACTACGAATGCTACATACTGCTTTTTTGTGTTTTCTTTGTTTAGCCAGAGAGATTGCATGCTGAAAATACCTTGGAGTGGGACCAGAGGGAAATACTTGAAACAGAAAAACAAAGACTGGAGAGAGAAAATAAAAGGCTAAAGGTCCAGGTGAGAGAACTGGAAGATCTGTTGGACAGGAGAAATAAATTAAGTGCAAACTGTCAAGGTCCTGATTTCAATACATCAGAAATTGAACTGCAGGAGAAATCCAAGGTATGGGTTCCCCATGTAAGCACATGTTGTTTAGTTCTATGTTCTCTTCCTGATGCCCGGGCTGCTGCTGAGCTACCTTAACTTTTATACTCTTCCAAATCTGAATATGTCCTTTTTTGCTGCCTGGTATCTGAGAGCTCATTATTTTTCCCCATTGTGATATAAAATAATGTTGTTCGTGCATCTGAAAACAGAATTTGACAAATTTTGGCTATAAGTGTTAGATTATGACAAATCTGACAGTTTCAAAATTTTGTGGGAAGGAATTAAAAAATGAAGTATAGGACAGACCTTTGTGCTTTTGGTTCCTTGTTACAGTTTTGTCTCAGTGTTTTCCAAGAAATGAATCTTACTTTCATTAAGTATATTTCTTAATTAACTTGAGCAATTACGCAATAAGCACTTGTGATGTAGCTGTGGTAAATATCTTCATAAACATTGAAATTTAGCCAAAGCTTACTGTTCTCCAGTTTATTTTTAGTTAGTCTCAGAACAATTATTTTTGAGTTAATTAAATGCATTATTTTACAAACAGGTTTTATAGGCTGCACCATAAATGTTAAAACCAGAATTAAATTCAGAATTTAACTTTGGGAAATGTAGGTTGTTTTGGAATTGTTTTATCGTCAAGGCAGTAAACATGTTACTGTTATGGATTGAATTTTTTTGATAAATAGGTTTCAGATTTTCAAATTACTATTCATGACAGTTTTATAGTTATAATGGGTATATTTTAGTGTCTATATACGTCTTGTTTCTTTTTTTTTCTAGTAAAGTTATCAATAGCATCTTAATGCAAAATGTTTTTTCATTCAATTCCATTAACTGTTGTGACAAGTTAGCTTGATAAGTTAATTTTTTTAGTTTTAGAAGTAGTTCATACTCCTTTGAGTTCTAAAAACTAAATGATGAGAAAAATATAATTCCATACCACTTTTCATTACTTTTGTGATTCTAGGGATTTATTGCAAACATAAGATTAAATCACATTAATGTTTCATGATTTGATCATACAGATATCTAAAATTAAAAGTTATAGTCATTGATTATAATTTTCTATTTTATAGATTCATAAACCATCTATTGTGTTGTATTTCATCCTGACATATATATACTTGATAAATTTGTAGGGAATTTTTTGTAGATTTCTACTTGTGGAAGCATAGAATTATCTCTAATTATGGAACACTGTTTATCCAAATAGCTATTTCCATTTGATTCACTGGAACAGGACATTTGCTTATATTACCTCTGTGTCAGTCACTGTTCCAGATGCTCAGGATATGAGTGTTAATGAATCACTCTCCCTGACCATCATGGTCTTAGAGTCTATATAGGGAGACAGACGTGTAAAATATTATCAATAGTTCATTGTGATAATTTCTGAGAATAAAGTAGAATGGGAATACGGATGAAAACATAACTCATTCTATTTAATTTGACTCCTTTTTAGTTACATGAAAATGTCATAACATACAGTATGTAAGTCGGAAAATTTGAGGGCTTATTGGGCCTGTTTGGGGCTGACATAAGTGCCAACTGGAGTGTCCCATCAACAGGACACATCAGGTCCAGACCTGGGATCTTTGGGACCAGTGTAGCTCCTTGGCCTGGTACTAGGTACAACTTGGAAACTAGGAGGATTCTGGAAGGTCTGACAAAATCTACAGGTATCCTCACACATCAGAAGATTAAGATTCCTTGAGTGTGTGTTATTTTGATGAGGGGTGAGGTGTTGGTTATGTTTACCCTCTTCACTGAGATTCAGGAATCTCTAACTTGAACCAGAATAATTACTTATCATTGAGCAGCTTCAGGTTAAAATCCTTGGTTCCGTAAAGACCCTCATAAATGCTGAAAATATCAGGATTCAGATGTCCCCAAGTGCCAACTGAATCTAAGTTGGCGTACAGAAGATGCCAAAGTCCAAGGAACAGTGTAGATTTTATCATAACTCCAAACCTGATTGTAGCTTTAACATCATTAAACATTTCAATAAGAATTAAGTTAAAAATATTGGTACCCTACGTGAGTGAGGCAATGGGGATAGCTGCTGCCATATAAGAGACACAACTCTAAACACGACACAAATTATCAACCTCTAAAAGAGATGTAAGATTTTACCACATGACATTTACGTTTGACTGTTTTAGCAAATATTTGTGATCACTCTCTGCTACTTACAAAAACTCTCATATCAATGGATGCCATTAATATCTTGAATTTAAATAATATTATTTTTCAATAAAATTATTAAATCTCAACTTATACAAGAAGGGAGGACTTTTGACACAGTTTTTCATATGCTTTTTGGACTTCAGTGACATAGGGGATACATTTTTAAAGAAAATGTCTTTCAATATAAATTGCTCTATTAATTCAAAGACAAAGACTGATCTTCACATGAGTGATCTCATCACATGAATCTCCATCTGAAAGTTGCTTTTATATACTATATCTAAGGATATGTGTGCATCAATCTTTTACAACTTAAAAAACAAATGAACAGCAATACCCCTGAACTTTAATGGATACTTTGGAAAATTGGTATTCTAGTAGTAACAAGTTATTTTAAAACTATCAACCACTATCATAGACTTTCTAGAACAACCTCCACTTGTGGGTCTTTTGGTTGGTTGTTTCATGGTTCTGTGAATCAGCATAACTGGCAAAACAGCTGGTATCAGAAAACGGATCTTCTGTGGCAGTATTGAGTGTTCTTCTCAGAAGGAATCCTGTATGTTAAGTGATGGTAAATATGTTTGAGAACTAGGTTTGTAAAATATATAACTAAATGAAAGTGTGTTTTAAAGAAGAGAACAATGGAGCTACATTTGAAACTCTGAATCCACAGCCAATAGTAAATTATACACCAGTGATGCTTGATCATTAGTCTTTATATTTGCAGCCAACATTAAAAAAAAATTCACCTACAATTATGAATACACAAGTTAAAATTTAATAAATTTTGTATATATTTTTATTTCATTTATTAAATTTGAATTCAATTACCTGAAATATTTGTTACAAACTGTTCTTATTTTTCATTCACAAGGTCAAGGAAAGTGAAAAATTGAAGTGTGTTCAAACTTCTAGTGGAATCAAAAATGGATTGTACATGTCACACTTGGGTACAGAAAGAAACCACTATTTTATTATGATTTATACACACACACACACACACACACACACACACAGTTACCTTTGAGTCAGTTCTGCCTCATTGTGGCCCCGTGTGTGTCCGAGTAGAGTTGTGCCCCATAAGGTTTTCAGTAACTGATTTTTTGGAATTAGATCTCTAGGCCTTTCTTCCAAGGTACCTCTGGGTGGCTCAATCCTCCAATCTTTTGGTTAACAGCCAAGCACATTACCATTTGCACTACCCAGGAATTCCATAGGAATCATATGAATCGTATTACCAGGGAATTAAGGTAAGGGGGAATGAGTTTTCCATGGATATGTGTTAAGAGAGGGAAAGCTAGAGACTCAAGAAATGAATATAAACAAATTTCTAAGGTTAACATATAACAGGTGGGAACTTATGTAGGAGGGGCAAGGAGAGAAGGCAGTTTCAAGTAGAAAGGTAATCTTGAGATTAAGAAATGTCATTATCCCCAGTGGTTGGTGAAAATAAGAACTGTAAGTACTTCACTAATTCTAAGCCCTTTCTATATTCTTATCCTGTCCTCCCTTTGTTCACTTCTGTGAACTTTCTGGAGGACAGACAATAAGATAAGATAAATGAGAGGAAAAGAAAAGTGGAGTTTGTGTCCACCACAAAGTGAGAAGATACATGAACCAAACAAGGAACAAACGCACATATCCTAATATTTATCGAAATAAGTCTTGATTTTTCTGTAATTGAGAAAGGTAGAATGTCCATTTCCAACCATTTATTTTTTTAATGATATTTATCCTGTAACTGACAATTTGTTTAATTCAGTGTATGGCACAGATTCTTGTGTTTGTAAAATCTTAATCCCTCTGCTATTGATATGCAATATACACATTTTCCATCATGCTTTTTCAAATGAGAATTTACTGAAAAAAGCTGTCTGTATTCTATTGGGTAAAGCCCCATGAACTAGTCAACATGCCCTTCGTGAAATATTTTGGAAGCTTGTTTTCTTAAATCACTCTGGGGATTGAATCCATTCATTCTGGTCACATAATGGGTCACTTTCAGAAAGTTAATGTGACAGGGTGGTAATTGATGTGTCTCAGGAAAATGATGAATTAATCTGAAGGTTGAAAGGCCATCAAAGTCAATTCCTAATGAATTTTCTTTCCCGACAGTGGTCCAGACTCAAGGAATGACATTACATGCATTTTGTTTAGCAACTTTGGCTTCAAAATTTTTTTTTTTTTTCCTTGTCAGTTGTTTAGCATGCAGACTTCTGGATTTGTTAAGTTTTCCTCATTCCTTAATTTTCTTCCCAATCTTTTATTCATAAAAATGTTAAATAATTTAGGAATAAATAATAATTATATCTGTTATTTTGCTGTTGTGAAGTAGTAATTTAATACAAGAATAACATAATTTGATGTTATTAGATAAGGTCATTTGTTTAATTGCTTTTATATAGCTTTGCTACCTGTAATATTTTTAATACAGTTATTAATACAAATTTATGTCATCCAGATACTTTTTATAAATGGGAAATTTTACCCCTTTTGTGTGTCATATTTTGTTGATACAAACTCAAATATATTTGTGAACAATGACTTGTTTGTAGTAAAATAATAGGCTACACACAGGTGTCTTTTGTGAATTGATAATTTAGTTATTTTTTAAAACTGAGAAATGCATCCATGATTTTGTATAAAGTTTGACAAAAGCAAATGGGGTTATGTGGGTTGAATGGAACAATTTTTTTTGTCTAAGAATTTCTGAAGTTATCGGAGATAGAGACTCTTAGGTTTAAATGACTGTTTATAGTGTCCTAGGGTGGGGATCTCAGGAAGGTTTTATACTGGACTGAAATAATCACTATACTGAA